ACCTGTTCGAAGAGCGGCTAAGATATTTATACATATATTTGAAAACGGAGCTCCAAAAGCTCCTGGACTCTGAAGAACCCAGCGGCCCCTTTTCTTGTTTTCAGTGTTGTTTGCTATTTCATTAGCTGACGGACATTGCCACCTAGGCCTCCATTGAAACAGCCTGATATGGCTGGGGCTATGGCCTCAAGTCGGATGGCCAGATGCCTCCTCTTGCTTCGGTTTGAGCCAGAGCATGGGGATGTCAAGGAGGATCCAACCGCGGATGAGTTTCGCACGGTTTGCATGGTATGAAGTCCTCAGGCTGGAGATGCCCCTTTGGATCTGGAGTGAGACAGCCCAGATACTGTAAATGGTTTAGCGGTTCAACAGAAATTGCTGTGCGATTGCTGTGCGGGTCTATCAGTGGCTTGTCCACGATAGGCTTTGCAACCCGCAAGGTCGGACAGCCCCACTTCCAATCGCTCACGAGGCTGGTCATTTGTGGCACACAACAGGGTGCAGACGGAAACAGATAGCATCGCCTGTTCACAGGTGGCTCAAATGCTTTGTGAGGGATGGGACATCCTGGCAAGTGGAAGGTGTTAGGCGCCATTCGATGAGCGGCTTGATTCTATATTGAGTCGAGCCTCTGAGGGCAGAAGAACTGCCCAGCGCGAGCTGTCAAAAGGAACTGCTGATGCCCTCAACTGGTCCAGCATACGGTCGTGCCAAGATGAGACAGGCGGCGACCGACGCAGCCCGGCCCATCTGCGCATTGGCTGTAGCAGAGCTTTTTGTTGGTCATGATGATAGATGCCCTGTCCTTCCCTGTGTCCATCCTGTCGAAACATGCAGACAGAGGGCCCCCTGATATCCATCCGTTGATAACATGATTCCATATGCCATATGCAAGCAATTGACAGCCACTGTTGGTCGAACCTTTTGGTTTCACGGATTGTTGGCGATGGTGCTGTAACTGGCTTCGGCTCGGGGAGGCAATGTGTTCGAAGGAGGCCCACATCTTGGAAGAAGGAAGTTCAAAGACACGGATAAACTTAACCTCTCAGACTCAAAGCACCGAACTCCTGTATATGGTTGGAGCAGGTAATGAGCAATAAGAGACGTAGGGAAGAGTTGAAACGTCATAAAGTCAGCTGACATGTGGCAAGGTGTTTCAGTAAAGTGTGTCTAGATTCTAGCTGCCTTGTCAAGGTGTACAGGTCAAGTTGTTTGCATTGAAATTGAGAATTATTCTCATGCATTCTTTTTCCTAGGTGTTTGACCTGTCTCCCAGCGAAGCTGCTAGAGGTGCCTTGATCTGACTGCCTTGGTATGAAAGAGAGAACGCGGAGAACCATTTTGCTGTTGCTGTTGCTTCCTGGCGAGGTTTACCAGCAAATGGCTCACCCCCCAGTGAGCAGTGTTTTCAACTTGGGCCGTTTCGCACCGGCAGGGCCTGAATGTTTGGCTAAGGTGACAAAGTCAGGTCCCACACCCAGCTGAGTGCAATTTTTGTTGTATGACTTCACCTTATTCACAAGATTACCACTATGATAATGCGGGCGGCCTTCAAAAGGTCTGGCCCGCAGCTGAGGCAACTGCATGCAAAAGTTGGTGGCTTAGTCTGGCAGAATCCTAGTGTTGGTGTTTAGTGAAGGCGGTTTTTGATGTAAGAACTCCGCGGAGCAAACATCTTCGATGCTTCGGTGTCAGATGCCTCTCGTTCCTTCCAACCAGACTGGTCTCGTGCCAAGGGCGCTGGGGCTTTGGGTCTTTTTGCTGCTGATAGCGCAGCGCCTGCACGTTTGCCATTTGGCTTTGAGTTTGACACCCGAAAGTTCGGAGACGGGATTCTGCTGTGAGTGGGGTGACAGTTCTTCAACAGAGAGATTGCAATTGTGTGAGAATCATTTGGACGCACCATGTGAGACATGAACCCTGATCGCGCATTGCATGCCATTGCTCAAACCTGGCCATGAGGGCCGTTGAGCGAACAGTTGCAAAAGAGTGCCAAGGTCAGAGCACTAGTGGTGTTCGCACTGCTGCTTTCTGAAAATGACAGCGGAGCTGTCACGCTCCAGCGTTCTCCTCTTGTACCATCGCGGACGCTAGCTCCATAAATGAGGTGCAATCACGCTGGAAGGTCAATAATGTCAACAAAATTCAGGTGTTTTTAGAGCGTTCCGAAGTTCTACAGCTGCAATTTGGCGTGGTGCTTTTGCCAACCTGAAAGAGACATAACGTGTCAACGTGGCGAGCAACAAACCGATTCCCCGTTCCAAATAGTGCCAGGCTCATCTATGCTCATCAGGCATTATTGCCGCAGCAACGTGATCAGAGCCTTTTTTGCAGGAGAGGGAGGGTCTTGCAGAGGGAGAGGTTCGGTGCATCAATTGTTCCCTTCACGGCATCAAATTCCTGGCATCATTCAAATAGGGTTGGTTTGAACTTTGCTTTTACACCTTGCGCTTTGCTTGTTACACTATATATCCGATCTCAAACTCAAACCCCATAGATGATGAAGATCCAAAAGACATTTCACCTAGTATCGGAATCAACTTCATCAACAATACCGAAGAGGATGATGACGATATCGGTGGACGAAGCCCTTTATCAGCATCTACTATGTCCACCAATCTACCAAGTGAATCCAAGTGATGATGATTACATGGTCGAATGGGAGGAATGGACAGCAAAAGAAGATGGCTTCGGACCTAGGGCAGTATGGGATCCAATGGATATCTATGACTCTACCACCGGTAAAGGTCATGGACAGTATGGCAGATAGATACTTCTTTGTGGTTGTTGGACTCCATCAACTTCTGTGGATTTAGAGTGATTTAGGGGATTGCAGGGGTAGCTATGGGTGATTCTGATGCGTCCGCAAAGACGAAGGCACCACACCCACTCCATCAAATCTTGCTGCTCCCTCACCACATTGCAATGTGCTACCGGAGTGATGGTGTTGAACCAAGGTCAGCCAAGAGATCTGGCGGTGCAGACCGTCCACCTGCGGCTGCGCTGCAGCCTGTGGATGAAGTGCTAAGCCAAGTGGGCAAGTGCGAGATCGAATCGAGTCCTTGCGACCGAGCCTACCCACACAGGTGGAGCCGCTGGAGCCTTTTAATCACCCTGAAGAAGGCTGCTCACGTCAGAATCGACGTGTTGGAAGTTTGAGATGTATAGCAAGAGACCAGCAGGCACCGTTCTACTCACTGATTTGTTTTGTTTGAAGTTTCTTCAGGTAAAGTGAGCGAGGCACATTCTATCAAGGCTCAGTTGTCCTCGCACAGTGTTGGCAATTCGAGGGCTTGACTCGACATGTTTGGGCATATTGCAAGGATCCATTGGGCAGCTTCGAGAACAACAGCCCACGACCGTCCTCACCACAGCATAATGATACACTTTTGATGTTTGCTGCTAGTTCTCGATGTTTCCTGGAGATGATTTGATAGAAATTTGAGGCCGCCAAGGCCTGGTGACTTCGAGGATGTGGGACATACCAACGCTCATGAAATGTGCAGTTTCACATTTTATTGGCAGCTTACAAGAGTGCTTTAGTAGTTTGATATTCTCTCAGGAGCTTTCCAACGCGCAGACACCCTAGTTGGATCATGCCACAATCTATCGTGTTTCGGGCTTTTTGGTGCCTCAACGCTCCAAACCATCCGTTGTAGCCATTAGCAGGCCGATGGTGTTTCGTTTCTTTCTCGATTTGTATGTTGTTTTGGGTCTTGCAAGTGATGGGGTTTGAACTTGTTTGGCACACTCTTGAGTCTAGTCTAGTCCTGAGCTTGACTCTTGACTGTGTAGGTTTGTGATCGGAACTGCCCAGTTCAGGCCACACAATTTGCCAGGGGCAGATGCAGACCATTTGCATGGGTCATCCCAACATGTTTGCAGCAAAGCACAAAAAAGATTGTGGCTGAGTTGCTTGACTGGTGCAATGCGTAAAATCAATGGCAGCCAACAAGAGGGAGAGAAAGAGAGAGAGAGAGAGCGAGTGTGTCTGAGATAGATTTAGGTGGACTAACGTCAATAGTATAGATGTGGCAATGTGTGACTTTACTAAGACTTTCACAGGCTCAGGCTCATGAGTGAGACCTGTTACAGCTCTATATATAAATCAAAGGGGGCTTGAAATTGCTGTATCCGCAGGAGGTTGGGCTTGAAAGCGGATGGCTCACTGTTGGTGAGTCCAACTCCACTGCCGCCTGGTGGCCTGTCAGACGAGGAGAGGTCAAGCACGAGTGCTTGGTTTACTGAATTCAGTCATGTCCAGCTTTTTGGATCCTTGGATCCTTGCCTCTGCATGTCGGCTTTATGAAAGGTCAGGAATGATCACATCGGTCCATGGCACCAAGGCACATACATATTGAAGTCAGAGACTAACGGCTGAACCATGGCACAAGCCCCCCCTAACTTGGATAGCTTAGCGGCCAAGATGAGCATAGGGCAACCAATTCGCACTGGGCTCGTCAGACTGGTGTATTCCTTGTTTTTCCAATTGTAGCAGCCACTGATCTGAAGCATCATCAAGTCTGCAGTCTACAGGCCGCCTCCGTCGTGTGGACTGTGTTGGACTATTATAGTGGACCAACTGACACAAAAAGACTCAACAGCATCCCATAACTTCTTGATGTTTCGGGACACTGTCCATGACCCTGAGCAGAGCCAATGAGCACCATGAGCGATACCGATACCTTTGCTTTTGCTTCAGCAGGATAGACGTGATGCCCATCGGGGGTTCTGTTTCAATTCGCTCCGACCTTAAAGGGTTCGGAACCAAACGATCGGTTTTCATGTTCAGCATGTCATGTGTGTGTTTTTTTCTCACCACACTTCCCGCACACGGAGTTATGGCCCTTAGCCATACCCGTACCCAAGGCGCGTGAGTGACTCTTTGCCATTGGACAGGCTCGATGTGGGCGCTGAAAATGTGCAAGTGTTGGGGCTAGCTACTGACCGTGAGGCAACAGAAAGATGCAGTTGGCTTAGACGCTTCGCCTTTGAATGTTCGTAGCTTGGAAACCAAACACTGGACGCTGAGTTCCGGTCGGCGGCCTGCCGGAGAAAGGCAGAAGGCAGGAAAGCATGTGGGCATGTTTGTGTGCTGTATCAATGACTTAACAGTGGGTGTAGGTTGCAAGAGCGACGGAGGCAGCAATTGAATGCCCTCAGAGTAAGTATGTAGTTTCCGCATGATGAAAGCCAGGATATCCAAAAGATCTTCCAACAGCCACCGTGTCTCCTCTTGTTTACGCGTTTAGGAGGGTTCAAGCATTGATTAAACTCCTTGGAATGGTTTGAAGTATGAGCGTGGCAGGTCGTAATGGTTTTTCACAACGAAGCGTTTTCCGCGCTTGTGAGGCAGGGCCGCCAGGCTTAGCTTGGTTGGCGCGTTCCGTGTAGATCAGATCAGATCTTTGGTTGCTGGAGGGTATCTTCCAAGTTATGATCAAAGCAGTTGCTCTCTATCTCTCCCCCTCTCTCTCCCTCTCTCTACGTGCAAATGTTTAAGTATTATGGATTTATATGCCCTCCCTTACTGTAAAGTTAGAATGCCCGCTTTTTCCATCTTTTTCCCAAAATTTACAGTAGCAATGAAACTTAGAATGAATGCCCAAAAAAAGTTCAAGGGAAATGCAGGTTTGAACCAAACCAAGGAAAAGGCTGTCTAACTTTCAGCTGTGATCCACCTAACAATACGTATCGCAAGGCCTTTCTCCCGTCCAAATTGGAGGATTATATTGTCATAAGACTTCCAAAAGTGCATCTTCTGCGAGGGAGGGACCCATTTCCATGATTTTTGTATGGTTGTCGATCTAAAGGTCCTAATAGGGATTGTCGATGACGGTGACCCTGGAACATGTCAAAAGCTCATTTGGCGAACGGTTGTCACGAAAGCTAGCCTTAGCTAGCTGGAGTTGCTCTTGCTTTAGCAAGTTAAGTGACGGGGTGGACGCACCTCAGAAACCTCAAATAATTGATTAAATCAATCTTATGGACCCCCCCCCCGCCGGGGGTTCGACTCCCCCCTGCGCGCGGTGAGCGGGACCACCAAGCAGCTGCAGCACACCAAGCATCTGCAGTCTACCACCAAGCAGCTGCAGCAAACCACAAAGGCGGAGCAGCAGCAGCAGAAGCAGCAGACCCAGAGCAGCAACCACGGCAGTTACCCAGTGAGAGTGACTGTGCAGCCCGCCCCCGACTTGTTTGGACGAGGAGGCCCGGCTAGCTTTCGTTCACCCCCTCTGGCCTCAAGTTTCTCGAGTTGGCGAAGGTATTTTTTTGGCGACGGATATGGCTAAAGATGTTCTTCTTTGCTGCTGCTGCTGCTACTACTACTACTACTACTCCTACCACTGCTGCTGCTACTGCTACTACTCCTGCTGCTGCTGCTACTCCTCCTGCTGCTACTACGACGACTACTACTGCTACTGCTACTGCTACCACTACTACTACTGCTACTACTACTACTACTATGATGCTGCTGCTGAAACTACTGCTACTACTCCTGCAGCTGCTACTGCTACTACTAACTACTACTGCTGCTGCTGCTGCAACTACTACGACTACTACTGCTACTACTACTACTACTACTGCTACTAACTACTAACTACTCACTATATACTAACTACTAACTACTAACTACTACTACTACTACTACTGCTGCTACTGCTACTACTACTACTACTGCTGCCACTACTACTACTACTACTACTACTACTACTACTTGCGACTTGCGACTTACTACTACTACTACTGCTGCTACTGCTGCTACTACTACTCCTCCTGCTACTGCTGCTACTACTCCTGCTGCTGCTCTGGGGGCGCGGCTCTGCCACAAAACTCTGCCCCGCAAAAGGCGAAAGTTTGGCGCAAGTTCAGCTCAAGATTGGCGAAAGCTCACCCTGCCACATCTGACCCCTAGCCCTAGCCCCTGAAATTATGAGCAAGTCTGAGCGACTGGCTACCACAGTGATTCTTGCAATTTTCACCAAACAGGTTTATTTGTCGGGGTTCGTGCTCCTTTGAAAGGGGTGCATGAAACGGCCGCATGATTCTACATTTGTCTCATCGCATGATGTTGTTTGTTTCCCACTTGCGCCCCACTGTCTCCACTCCTGTGGGTACTTTGGCTGCGTGGCAGAAAAAATTTGAAAGGGAAGAGCGCAACTTTGGGCGGATTTCGTCTTTAAACATTCAGCAAGGGATTGCTTGTGTTGTTCACAAAATCAGACGCCGCGGCAATGATTTGGCACCTGACGCCTACATTGAAAATACCAATTTACAAAATGAGCTTGGACTTGGACGACCAAGCAAACTGTTTGGGGTCCACGCTGGTACAGTTTTGTTCTTGCAGACACCCAGGAGAAACAACAGAGACGTACAGGGTGCCAACTGTTAACTAGAAGACACATGCTGACAACGTTTCTATATCGTATCTGCCAGTACGGAAGAAGCCACTGACAAGAAACAATGATAGATAGATAGGTAGATATATATATATATATCCGTCATACAACACACATGGCAAACATAAATACAACATACTCCGACGAACGATGAAACGCAGGAAGGCGAAAGTTTGGCTAAAGTAATTTTTTTGGCTAAGAATGACGGATCCCGGATGAAGGAATTTAGATCAACACCCATATATCACCCTTCCAAAGCGAAGAATATGTGAGGGACAAAAATAGGGCGCTTCTTAGGGAGGGACGCGTTTCCATGATTAGTATCGCAAGGGATCACCCCTTCCAACTTCAGGGTATATGTCATTCTACTCAGGATATACATATAAAGCGAAATTGTGCAGATGGCTATGATCGAGTGTAGAACATGTTTCACTAGCGGGCGTCTTGGGCACAAATCTGTCGAGTTTGGTAGCGGAGCCTAGTGCTTCCTTGAGTACCTCATCCCAGGCCCCGTGGACCTCCTCGATTACAAGTTTCCTCGAGCGCGATTCCACCAACCTCCGGGAGCATCCCACTGGAGCACTGGCGGGACATTCCGCCAGGCTGGATTCCAGGTGATGCCTCATACCCATTGAGGACATTATCGGCAAACTGAAGCTTTGGTACCGGATCGCCAACGTTAAAGATGAGGCCATTGGGCCATTGGTTGCAGGGCGACTCTATGGACGAGCATCCACGATCGCCATGACACTGCGCAAGACCTGATGGCGCCCACGACGCGGGCGACGCGGCCTTGGTCAGGCTGGCCGTGGACGAGGTCACGTGACCCGACGACCAACGTGGTCATTCAGAACCCGATCCCATCGGGAGTGCAGTTCCTGGCAAACGCACTCCGCGCGGCCTTTGGCCAGCAAGATCAAGATCTTGCAACGCAAGCCTTGGACAAGTTCTTCTGAGTACAGTGTGGAGTTCGACAGCCGATATGATGATGATGCTCAATACGACCTGGATTGCAGTTGAGCGACGTCGGCAAGTTCTTCTTATGGTTCAAGAACTCAGGATTGCCATCCAAGACGGTGGGTGACATCAAGCTACAGGTTGCCGGCGGCTACTACGCGCGCTTCAACGATGCAAGAGCCTTGGCACTGCGCATCAACCCCAATCGGCGCAACCTGATGACACGCAGATCCTCCACGCGGAGAATGGGGAGTCCCGCAATGGTCACTATGACTACTACCAGGACTGGGGCGACGAAAACGAGGCCGAGGATGCATGGTGGCATGGCTATGAAGAAGCCGATGAAGGCGAATGGGTCTACGAGGAGTACCCCAACGATGAGAGCTACTGTGAGAGCCAGAATGCCAGCGATGAATCGTGGCAAGAAGTGGGTTTGGAAGCTGGCGTGACCTCTGGCTCACGTGACTCCAACATCTCCGGGGAGTGCAATGAAGCCTTCTACAAGGGCAACAAAGGCCGTCCACAGGATTGCGACGATGGCGATTTAAGTTCAAGGGCAAAGGCAAGGGCAAGAGAAGCAATGGAAATTGCAAAAGCAAAGGCTATGGACAGCCGGAGTACACGACTAAGGACTACCTGACTACCTACTTTACCATGAAGCTCAAGATGAGCTTCATGGTCTTCAATATGAAGAAGGAAGAGACGCAGATGAGCTACCACATGGTCCATGGCCAGGAGCGACAGTCCGACCGCATCTGGTCTTGTTGGCAGTGAGACCCTGAACGCTCAAGAACTGTTCCAGTCCATGGGTGAGATGGAGATCACTCCTGTCTCTGGCATTGTTTCAGGTTGCAGCAAATCGACTCTCGGCAAGGTTACTTTGACCATGGCAACAGCTGGACAAAGCATCACATACACGGCGGGGTCATTGGTGGTGCTGGCAGCTTGTGTCCCGCACTTGTTGGTCCTGAACACCAAGGACGCATGGACACCTTCGTCCTCGGAGTCGCGCTCTTAATTGGCGATAGGCTCTTGCTCTTGGACTGTGTCTGCTGTTCCTCGTCGACGAAGTGGATCTTCCGTGAAGCAGCAGGGTTCCGCGAACAAATTCATCTTCTTCTTCGTTTTTCTCACACGCCAAAGGACCAACCCGTGGTCGCATGTCAGGCCAAACTTTCGAACCGCAAATGGTTCAGCTTGCATGCTGTGGCCAGCCAGGAGAACGCAGCTGACTTCGGGACGAAGGCATTGCCTGTGAAGAGGTTCAATGAGCTCGCTCCACTGGGCTTGCCCTGGGGTCTATGCGGCGCTTGGAGTTTTTGGGTGGGGGGGTGGGGGTCTCTTCGGGTTTGCCTTGCTGGCTGTGGCTGTGGCCGATGCAATTTGACTTCGTTCAGGTTTTGATCGTGTGTTGCATTCTTCTCTGTGCCGAATTTGCAGCGCACCACCTTTCGATAAAAACCCTTTTTGAAAAAATTTGATTGGCCACAAATTTGCAGTCTTGCATTTCATTCTTGAATTTGCACATGGCACTTACAGTGATGACTGTACTTGAGAACACGGGACTGTGATCCACATCCGTGCAGCTCTGGCTGAATTTTCAGATAGGCCGGGGCGCGTTGCAATCCAACACGGGTTGGACGCGGGGATGGGGGGTTCCACTGGGTCCCGTTAGGACGGGCGGCGTTCGGTGCCATGGACAGGTTTTGGCCCAATCTTGATCCTGTTGTTCTTGGAACTATTCAGAGATATTTTCGGACCCCTCTTCTTTTGCAAGCTGCTTTTGATGACCACGATGAGTGTCAGAGTTTCTTGGCAGACATGTTCCCTGACATGGTTGAGGAGGAGCTTAGGAACTCGGTTGCCGAGCTCTTGAGGTGGCAGTCGGATTCAGCCCTGGCCTTGAAGCGTATGCGCTTAAATGTTGTTTCGGATAGCATGTATTTCCTACCGACTCATAGGCATGGCAGTGTTGATTTGAGAGAGTCATTTCGT